TCTCCAAAAAAAAAAAAAAAAAGAGGAAAACAGGATGGAGAGTTAAATGCCTATAAAATGAAGAGCTGATATCTGAAAAATAGCCCATCAAGATGGCAATTGTAGTAGTTATTATCTCACCTTAGAGACAGCATATTAGATCATGCCCCTGATGTCTAAATTCATAAAAACAGAATCTTGCTTTATTGTATTCAATCACCAAGGTACTAAGGAACATATCATCCTCAATGGGGATAACGTAGCGTCAAGCCGACCTGAATGCTACTGTGCGTGTGTTTAGTTATAATCACACTTCTAAATACCTGCCTGGTCATGTTGTTTAGGATATATAAAAACCAAATCTATTAATGGAATATATTTTAAGAATTTTATCTTGCCCTAGTTCTTTGGAAACTTGTGAGACTCTACATTGAATCACAATTTATATACTTTATTTTGAAATTTAGCTTCTGTTATGGGTGTTATTGATTTGTTTATGGCAAACAATGCATCTCAGTGACAGTTTCAACGTGTCCAAAATGTGCAGAACACACAGTTTTCACAATGCAATTAGTTAGAAATTGGAGAAGCTTAATTTTAAAATTGAATTGTTTCTGGAAAATCTGTTTCTATGCTCACGATGGCTTAAGCAGTTTCTCCTCATAAAATGTTCTAGAGTTTGAAGAAATGAAGTGCAGTTAATCAGAAAGTACATTATGGTTTGACATCTAATTTGAAAGCCCTGTCCTGAATCAGTGAGTGATTGCTTATGGCATTAATGTACCAATAAGAATCCAAACAGGAAATCCATCTTGCCCAAAGTGGATCTCCATACGGATGTATTCAGTGTGGTATTGGCTCTTATTTTGTGGGACATGTTTCATAAAGGTATACGTGTCTCCTAATATGTACAGCTCATGTTAACCTACTTTAATAAAGAAATAGTAAAAATAGCATTATAGTGAATTTATCTAATTATTGTACATTAAAAAACAGATTAATAATCTTAGTTTACTATAAATTCAAGTGCAGTCCCATTAAAGTAAGATTTGAAGTAAACTATCACTATTTTTTTCTTTTAAAATTTGCTAGAATGTACATGTACTTGCTGGAGAGAGAGAGAAAGAGAGAGAGAGAGAGCATGTCAGCCACAGATGTTGGTCATGCCACAATCCCTTCTCTTCCATATCTCCTTTTGGAATTTTAGATATGCATATACATGTGCCCAGCATGTTTATCTGGCTGCTGGGTCTAAGACTCAAATCACATATTCAGCCATGTGGGATTCAGCCACCATAACCACCATGCCACCAGCTAGCTTAATCTCTCAAATGTAAAGTTTAACATTGAAGAAAAAAAAAAAAAAAAGGGAATATCAGCCAGTGGTGCAGTGCTCTGTGGCACTGGACTCCTATGGAATAGTCTTGGTTTTGTGCCCATGACCTTTCTGTGTACACTGCAGGTGCAATTCCCTGCTATCCAGGCTGGCTGAGACTTGGGTAGAATATCTCATGAAGACCTCTTTGAGGTTGTGTGTCTCTCCTTCAGAAGAGATGGAGAAGTAGGCTTTAAGAAAAAAAAAAGATGGAAAAAAATGTAACGTTAGTGTTTATAAAAATGTTTCATGTATCTATGTTATGTTCCTCTCTCCCTCAGTGCCGCCAGCAATCACGATGCCTCAGAAATCCTTTAATGCTACAGCTGAGAGAGGAGAAGAAATGACATTATCCTGCAGGGCCTCAGGCTCTCCTGAACCTGCTATTACCTGGTACAGGTAGGTTTGCACCTATGGCCCTCTAATTGATCTCCATAGTCAGACTCATGGTATAGTACTTGGAATTTTAATCATCTTGGCAAGATGCAAACCATTCATTTCTAGGTTCAGTTTAAAAATAATGATGTAATTATTTTTCAGTGAAGTTGGTTTGCTTACATTGTTTAAGAGATCAACAGTATGATCTCGCTAGAATTTTCTGAGTCAAAGGTTGTACCTGTAGTCATTTTTCTTTCTGTAAGGGTGTATTTCTCACCAAAGGAGGCCTAGGGACCCTGTAATTGAATTGACCAGTTGATTTTTAAAAATGTTTACTTATTATTATTATCATTTTTGAAGTTATTACAGAGCATGTATGTTTATGAGAGAGAGAGAGAGAGAGAGAAAGAGAGAGAGAGAGAATAAGAAACCAAGCTGCTGGGCACAGGCCTCAAACTGTGGTCATGCCTTAACTACCACATATTCTGCCAGCCCTGAATTGACCATTTTAAATGTGTCTTGAAATGAACATCCTAATGTTGTGGATACCCATGTTGTATATCTAAACAAAATAAAATTTTACTGGAACATAACTGTTGGATCAGCAGATGGGGGTAATGGTTATGTCAATGGATTCCCACGTAGTCAACCACAGTTTGCATCCTGGACTTGGTAGCTTAAAACTCATGTCAAGTCATGCACGTGTGCATGCGTGCACTAGATCCCAAGAGGAGAATGGATTGTAGCCATTCCCCGTGGTGGGGGTGATTTCTTCTTTTCTGTCTCTCCGTTTCTCTCTGTCTCTCTGGTGAATGCATGTGCCCTATAGCAAAATCTCTTAAAAAAGTTAAAGAAAACATTCATTGTATAGTTTACTCACTTATTATATTTATTGATTTATTTTTTTGGAGAGGTTTTCGCTATAGGGCGCGTGTGCTCGCCAGACAGAGAGAGACAGAGAGACAGAAAGCAAGATATCACCCCCCAGGGGGAATGGCCACACCACAATCCCTTCTCTTCCATTCTCCTCTTGGGATCTTGGGCACTCATGCACACACGCCCGGCATGAGTTTTAAGCCACCGGATCTGTGATGCGAACTGTGGTCAACTATGTGGGAGTCCAGTGACATAGCCATTACGCTAACTGCTAGTCCCCACTTATTATATTTCTGAGAGAAGCTAACTGTGGAGTTAAAATTCCATGAAGTTGGGACCAGCAGTTAGTGTAATGGCTATGTCGCTGAATTCCTGTGAAGCCGACTGCGGTTCGAGCCCCGGACCCGATGGCTTAAATTTACGCCGAATACGTGTGAGTGCGTGCCCAAGATCCTGAGAGGAGAATGGAGGAGAAAGGATTGCGATGTGACCATCCCCCCAGGGAATGATTTCTCACTTTCTATATCTCTGTTTCTCTCTGTCTTTCTGGCCAGCACACGTGTCCTATAGCAAAAACTTCTCCAAAAAAAAAAAAAAAATCCATGAAGTTAATGTTATTTTTAAAAGTTTAACTTATCAAATGAGAAAGCTATGTGTGTGTGTGTGTTTGCCATAGGGTGCATGCGCTCACTGGAGAGAGACAGAGATGGAGAAAGGGAAAGTGAGAAATCAAACTCCGGGGGTAATGGCCACATCACAGTCCTTTCTCCTCCATTCTCCTCCTGAACTATTGGGCATGCATGCACATGTGTCTGGTGTGATTTTGAAGTCACCAGGTCCAAGACTTGAACAGCAGTTGGCCATGTGGGAGTCTCATACCTTAACCATTGTGCAACCGGCTGACCTGGTAAATGTATTCTTTAACAACTAATACCTATTTTTAGAATTCTTAAACTCTTCTTTGATTTCCATTATGATTAAGTATATGTCAAAATATTTCATTCTTTTAGATTATGTCTCAGAGTACTAAGTTGGAGATAACAAACTTCCAACTTAGACAATTGCATAACTATGCATCACTAATGCACGTTAGTACACAACCACTGCTACAAATACTGATAGAATTGCTTCTGTACTTTATAAATCATATAGTGGAAGAATAATCTCCAAAAATTTAGTAAAATATGCATTTTAATGTGCAAAAGTGTAAATATGAAGGATTAAGTTTTTATTAAGAATTACTTTAAGGATATTTATTGAGATCTAAACCTAATTTCTCTTTCTCATTTTTTTTCTTTTTTGAGAGGTTTTTGCTATAAGGGCACATGCACTTGCCAGAAAGACAGAGAGACAGAAAGTGAGAAATCACCCCCCGGAGGGGATGGCCATGCCACAATCCCTTCTCCTCCATTCTCCTCTCTACATCTTGGGCATGCATGCACACGTGCCTGGTGTGAGTTTAAGCCACCAGGTCCGGGATGCGAACTGCTGTCAACTATATGGGATTCCAGAGACATAGCCATTACGCTAACTACTGGTCCCTAATTTCTCATTTTCAGTGTAAATGTTTACTGAAATTGTCTTAAAATTTCAAATCACTGTTTATCTCTTTTATCCATTTAATATAGGCAGTAGCAGTAAACAAGATATTTTTTCAAACAAGATGTTTTTAGATATACTTTATAGGCATTAATTTCTCCGTTACACACTGTTGGTGTTTTTAATGGAATTACACATCACATAGTAACGTATTCACCCCAAATAATCATTGTAAATCTTAGAGACTGCTGATTTTCTAGTGTGGATCTTAATTGTCAGTATCAGGTCTAATTGCATCACAGAATGATGCATTCATTATAGTGAACAAATAGTATTTTAGAAGCCTATTCTAATTATTTTGTATTTCCAAATAGACCTAGATGCTTCAATTATTTTTCTTAAAATTTTATATCTCTTGGGTGTTCCATATGGTGGTGCCACCCAATGAGATGCTCTGTGAGGCTGATCTACATGACAAAGCTCCAGGTTCACATCTGAAGACTTCTCTGATAGTACCCAGGATGCAGGGCTGACCGAAGTCAGGGGTTGGGATTCTGTTAGGGATGCTGTCTCTCAAGCTATTTTGTTCATAAATAAAGAAATACATTTTTAAAAATATGGACTGGAAAAAAATCTTTGCTCTTGTTTAAAATCGTTCTCTTGGAGCAAGAGGCTAGTGTTGTAATTAAGGTGCTTGGCTCCCATGTGGCCGTCTGTGGTTCAAGTCCAAGACTTGGTGGCTTGCTTTCTCAATTTCTCACTCTTTCTTTCTTGAGCACATGTACTCTATAGCAAACTTAAAAAGTAATATTAATAATAATAATATACAAAATAAAATAAGTTAGTAATTGAAAAACATGTTTTTCTTATGTTTAATTTGAAATACAATTATGTAAAATAAAATGAATCACATTGAGAGGATAATATAAGGAGCGATTTAAATCTATTTTTTTAATTTATTTCTGTACCTTCACATAGCATTAGTTTCACTTCTGAGGAGTGTGAAATAATAGTTTATTAAAACTTACATAATGGTTCTAGCCTCTGGATATAAAATGAGAGAACAGGAACGCATGGTTGTAGCATTAACAGATGTGATAGTATTTGAAGGAAGTTTTTATTTTGACCTATTTTTCTGTGGATATAGACATGTTTGTGAAAAATATTTCTGGAAGCATTTGGGAATGTAGGGTGCAGCCCTGTGAGAATGATCCAGAATGAGCAGAATGATTTCTGATACTGTGAGACAATGTAAGTGACCTGAGTGAAGTCCGTTTGTTAGTTCTTCCATTACAAAATACCGCAGATGGAGTTGTTTAAATAGAAATTCATTTTCTCCTAGTACTGAAGGCAAGATGGTAAAGATCAAGGGGCTAGCAGCAGTGATGGTTTCTAACTATCTTGCATATGGCTGCCTTTTCACTTCTTTCCACTTTTTCCACCTACGTCCTTCTGCTATGTGAGAAAGAAAAAAAAAAAAGGCAAAGAAAGATCTCTGCTATCTCTTCCTCTTCTTTCCTATCTTTTTTCAAAAAAAATATTTACTATGTTTTAATTCATTAAAGCTTCCATTTCTTTTTTCTGCCTTTTTTTTTTTTTAGAGGTTTTTGCTATAGGATGTGCGCACTTGCCAGAAAGACAGAGAGAGTCAGAGAGACAGAAAGTGAGAAATCACCCCCCTGGGGAGGATGGTCACACCACAATCCCTTCTCCATTCTCCTCTTGGGATTTTGGGCATGCACACACACATGCCTGGCGTTGAGTTTAAGCCACCAGGTCCGGGACTTGAACCACAGTCGACTATATGGCAGACCAGCAACATAGCCATTACACCAACTGCTGGTCCCAAAACTTCCCTTTCTTTTAAGAACATCAAATTCTATAGGATTAAGGCATCACACTTATGACCTAATTTAACCTTAATTACCTCCTTAAAGACTCTATGTCCAAATACAGTTGCATCCTGGAGGTTGGAGCTTCAACATACGAATTTTGTGGGTGGGTGGGTGGGGAGGGGATAATATAGTTCAGGACACCAGGAGAGGAGGCAGCAAAGGAACGAAAACTGCAGAATTATAAAAAGTATTCACAGACCAGCTGGTGGAATGGTGTTTAAGGTAGTGTGATCCCATATGGCTGGCTATGTGGTTTGAATCTCAGACCCAGCAGCTTGAAAAAACATGATGGCCATGTGTACATGCATGCCCAAAAGGATAAGGGAGAAATGGAGGAGGAGGGATTATAGTGTGACCATCCCTTCTGGCGGGTGTTTTCTAACTTTCTTTTCCTCTCTCTTTCTCCCTTTTTTGTCTCTCTCTGTCTTTGTCTGGCAAGTGCATGTAATCTCTAGAATTTCATTTATGTTTTTAAATTTTCATAAAGAGGATCATCAACTTAATGACATGCTAATCAAAGTGGAAGCAACAGCAGCAACATTTTTCAGCTTATCCTCTTCTATATCTTCTGATATATAGATTTTTATCATTAACCCATTAATGTGGTGAATTTCATTATTTTTCAAATTTTAAAGCAAGTTTGCCATACTTATTTAAAAACTGCTTGATCATGGTATATTATCCTTTGTATGCATGCTGGAATCAATAGCCTAATAATTTAAGATTGTTACATTCATGATTATGAGAAATATTGTTCTATCATTTTCTAGTTTTTGATTTCTTAGGAATTAGGGTAATATTATCCACACAGAATGAGTAGGCAAGTATTTCCTCCTGTTCTGTTTTCTGTTAGAGTTTGAATGTAAGGTTTATTATTTCTTACTTAAATGTTTGGAAAAATTCCCAGCAAAACCATCTGTGCCAGGATTTTTCTTGTATAAAGATTTAACTACAAATTCAATTTTTTTTTCATAGATAAAGTTATTCAGGTAAACTTATTCTTTAGTGAGCTTCGATTATTTCATCTATTCCAGAAATGTGTTCATGTCTTTTAAATTGTGTATACTGGCATAAAGTTGCTCATAGTTTTCCCCTTTTGTACTTTTAATTTGCATATTATCTTTAGTGATCATCTTTCTTTCATCCAGATGCTATCAGAACTGCTTATTTGTTCTACCCTCTCTCTGTTTTGAAAACCCAAGTTAGTCTAGATACATATTTATGAGTATAATCATCTTAGTAAATCAGCCTTTTTTTAATTAATTATTTCTTTACTTTTCAATTTTCTATCTCATTGTTTTTTGCTTTTATTTACATTATTGTCTTTCATCTATTTATTTTTCACTTCCTTTTCCATTTCTTAAGGTGGATATTAATGGCATTGATTTTAATTATTTATTGTTTTCTAATATAAGCTTAAGATTTTGGCTCTAAGCAGCTTTAACTATACCCACCTAATTTGGATATGTTTAAATTTTTTTCAATTCAAATGTTTTTAAAATTTTCTTTTGACATTATTTTTGTTATTGGTTACTTACAAGGATGTTTATTTGTTCCCAGTAATTTGGTTATGTTTTATTTATGTATTGTTATTTTTTTGGGGGGGGAGAGGTTTTGGTGATAGGACACGTGTGCTCGCCAGAAAGACAGAGAGAGATAGAGAGACAGAAAACAAGAAATAACCCCCCAGGGGAGATGGCAGTGCCGCAATCTTTTCTCCTCCATTCTCCTCTTGGGATCTTGGGCATACACGCACACATGCCCAGCGTGAGTTTAAGTCACTGGGTCTACGACTCAAACCAAAATTGACTACATGGGAGTCCAGTGACATCACCATTAGGCCAACTGTTGGTCCCTTGTATGTATTTTGAACTGATTTCTAATTAAATTTCATACTTGTCAGAGAACATACTATTTGTTCATTTTTATTTCTTATTTTTATTATTTTGTTGTTGTTGTTCTAGTGCATGTGTGCTTTCCAGAGGGAAACAAAGACAGGGGAGAGAGATAAAGTGAGAAAGCATCCCCTGGGGATATGGCCATGTCACAATCCCTTCTCCTCCAATCTACTCTTGGGATTTGAGGAAGGCACATACAACGTGCCTGGCATGTTTTCTGGGCCACCCATTCTGGGACTCGAACCATGCGGTCAGCCAAGTGGGATCCAGTCATCTTAACCACCATGGCACTGGCTGGCCTGAGAATATAGCTTTTGATGGTATCAATTTTTTAAACTACTGAGTTTTATTTGATAGTCTATGTTAGTAAATATTCTGTGTTCACTTGACAAGATGCAGCAGTGGAAATGTGTATTCCATTATTATTGTATGGAGTACTCTCTAAATATTTAACACATCAACTTGCTTGATAGTGTTTGGGTTCTAGTCTTCTAAATCCTTACTTATTTTCTACTATTTCTCTCCAACTTCATTTATAAATAAATCTATTTCTATGCTCAGTTTTATCTTTTACTTTGTAATTTTAGAAGCTCTGCCACTATGTGGTTAAACAATTATCCATATTTTATAAATTATATAAAAATTATTTAAGGACTTTGTTTAGGAGTATCTGTTTAATGCCAGATATAAGTTTATTTCAGTCTTCTTCTCTCTAATTTTTCATTTTACTCAGTCTTCAGGTTTATTCGGTTACAACACTACTATGTCTTCAGTGTCATGAATCTTTTCTTCCTTAATGTTTCATCTTTTCTTACTCTCACCAGTGTGTTGTTAATCATCCTATTTTAAAAAGAAATATTCATTTGATTTTATTAATTATTATTGTTACTTTTTTTAGTTTGGTACAGGGCACATGTGCTCACCAGAGAAAGAGAGAGAGAGAAAGCAAGCTGCCATGTCCAGAACTTGAACTGCAGTCAGCCATGTGGGAGTCCACCACATGGCCTTAACCACAATATCACCTGCTCTTCCCATCATTCTTTTTTTAGTATCTTCAGGTTTGAGGCCTTTCTTATGTTTTCCATACCTTTATTGGCCTTTTAGGTAAATTCAGGCAACCTTTAGTCTAGGGATAATTATGTTCTCTTACTGAGGCCATCTTCTTCTAAAGACATGAGCGAAAGTTCTCTGTTTTAGGAGGTCTTTTTCTTCTGGAGAACTGGGATACAAATTATTCTTGGCCTGATGTGAGTGTCTGGGATTTTTGTTTTGTATCATTTCTAGTAGTTCTTTCTCTAGACTAAGAAAGCCTTATAGGCTATCATCATTGATCACTGTCCACTTCAAGATTTATTGGGAATGCTCTGCAGTTCTCTGTAGCTCTCTTGTTCAGTTCTCTCTTTTCACATGATCTAACCTGAAAATTGAGCTACTTTGACCACCCCCAGATACAAACTCTGTCTTCCAACATAGATGTATCCCTCACTCTGGTTAAATTATTCCCGGAGTTGTATCCTGGAGACTCTCTTTAGGCCATAAACTATAGTTGTCTTCAGAGGTCACTGTCCTGTACTACCTGATGACCAGTGATTGAAAACTGATATTTCACATGTGCAGTCAGTGTTTTTGTTGTTTAAAGTGTGAACATAAACGTGATCACTGTAATTTTAGAAGTGGAATTTATTATGATTCAGAAGTGAAATTATCATTCATGTTTTATTATTTCCACTAATTTTTTAATGCTGACCTCAGTTTTCTTGAGTTGCAAATGGGACCGTTAGAGAAGTGTTTTTCGTTTTCTTTTCCTCCTTCTTTCTTTCTTTCTACATTCTTTTTTTCTTTTCTTTTTTTGCCACAGGGTATTTGTATTTGCCATGTGGGATCTAACCCCTTACATGCAGTGTTTAACCACTGTGACACTGGACCAGTTCTCTTCAAAATATTTTTAATAATATTTTCAGATTATGTTTTACTTAAGCTTGTTTGGGAACATATACTCCTCTATCCCCAAGGGCAGAGCCTACACTTTTTTACATTAGTAGGTTTTAAAATCACTTTTGTCATCCAAACCACTGTTATAAAAAAATTGAAAGAAACAAAAAAAGGAAAAAAAAAGCATATGAAGAAAATATACAATATAATAAGATTTCACAAAAAAGGGGATTTTAGAGATATTTCAGATTTTAATATATTTAACACATTTCTTATAGCATTTTATAGTGAAAAAGTTTGAAAGTGATTGTCATAAAGGACTACAAAGATTAGAGGAGAGTAAAACTAAAAGAAAACTTATAAAACACTCTTTGTTCTCCTTAAAGATTTAATTATCATACTTAGAGTAATTTTTTAACCATGTTATATGTAACCTTTCCATCTTACTCTCTCTTTTTATTTATTTTGTATTTACTTTGTTTTATTATTATATTTACTTTGAAATGACTAGAATTTTTAAAATTAATTTTATGTGTTTTAGGAAGCTCATAAAAATATGCTTCATTAACGTATGTTGTCTCACCAAAATTTAAAGTGTATAAAGAATTAAAATCAGTAAAGGAAATTCATTTTTTTTGCTAACAGTTGAAGCTCAAGTGAACTAATTCACTTTCTTTTCCTTACTTATGTCAAGACTTCGACACAGATCAGATATTCTTTGTGTATCTGAAGTCAAAAGAATTTTTAAGTATAATTTTAATAGTCATTCATTAAAATCTTATGCTACTAAAAATATGCTTTTGACTGGAATATAACCTTGTCTATCAATTACAGTAACCATGACGTAATCAATACCTATCTATAAAAAGTTGACTCTTATCTCCTGCATTATGAACTCAGATTTATGAAGATCAAACTTTTGCTTTTCTCTTTTAGGAATGGAAAACTCATTGAAGAAAATGAAAAGTACACATTGAAAGGAGGCAACACGGAACTCACTGTCAGGAACATAATCAATAGTGACGGGGGCCCATATATCTGTAGGGCCACCAATAAAGCTGGAGAAGATGAGAAGCAGGCATTTCTTCAAGTCTTTGGTAAGTATTATAGTGTAGTGGTTCAACCTATATGAAAGTACATTGCAAGGTCTGAGCTGAAGTCTACACTTTCATGAACACAAACTGGTTAGTTCTCTGTTATTAAAACAGTTTGGGGATCAACCGGTGGCACAGTGGTTACATACTGGATTCCCACATGGCTGATCTCAGTTTGAGTCCTAGATCCGGTGGCTTGAAAATGACACAGAACATGTGTGTGTGTCCAAGATCCCAGGAGGAGAATGGAGCAGAAGGGATTGCAGCATTGCCATACCCCTGGGGGGTGATTTCTTACTTTTCTTCTCACTCTCTCTTTCTCTGTCTCTCTCTGGTGAGCACATGTGCCCTATGAAAAAAACTCTAAAAAAATTAGTTTCATGGGCAAACGGGTGGTATGGAGGTTAAGGCATCTGTATCTCACATGACTAACTACATAGTTTGAATCCCAAATCCGGGGGCTTGGAAAATTATGCTGAGAGCATATACATTCATGCCCAAAACCCCCAGAGGAGAATGGAAGAGAAAGGTTTGTGATCTGGCCATTCCTCATTGGGAGGGGGATTTCTCACTTTCCTAATCTCCCTCTCTCTCTTTATTTCTGAATCTGGTGAACTCATGCACCCCACAGAAAAATGTCTCAGTATCCTCATCTCTTTTGAAAATGTTTTTATGAGAGGCTTTTTGCTATAGGGCGTGTGTGCTCACCAAAAAGACAGAGAGACAGAAAGCAAGGAATTCCCCCCTGGGGGGATGGCCACGCAACAATCCCTTCTCCTCCATTCTCCTCTCGGGATCTTGGGCACACACGTACATGTGCCTGGCGTGAGTTTTAAGCCACTGGGTCCGGGACTCGAACCTCAGTTGATTACATGGGAGTCCAATGACATAGCTTTTATGCCAATTGCTGGTCCCAGTTGACTACATGGGAGTCCAATGACATAGCTTTTATGCCAATTGCTGGTCCTTCTTTTAAAATTTTATCTATAAGGTAGAATTATTTTAAGAATCACATGATATTACACATCCAAGTTTCTGTGAGATTATGGCAGACTAATAAAAGAAAGTGGAGGAGTATCCATTTATGTTCTACCTAGTGGTATCTAATATTATATATCTGTATAGGACTTAATCTTCATAAGTCTTTAAATGACACGTTGCGATCAGTTTTACTTTAAATGTACTTCAAAAGAGCACATATATAAGACTATAATCGAAGTACATTCATATACAACTATAATTGAGTATTCCCTTTCCATTTTATTAAAATATAAATATCTTACATACTTATGAATAGCCATATTGCCTTCTTTCAGAATTTCTAGTGTATAGAAAACTAGTACATTTTTAAAAATTATTGGCTTAGCTTCTATTGTGTATTAAAATGTAAAGGTAATGTTGCTGGTGGGTACTTATGATAAGATTTTCTTTTCACAAAAGGTAACACTAAAAATTATATACACTACTTACACTTAGTATACATTTCACCATCTTCAAAATAACTATAATAGAATGCTTTCACACACACAAAAAAAGGAAAGGGGAAATCTGAGAGAGTAAAAAGGACCAACATTTGCACTGGATACTACAGATACTTCTTACACGGACCTCAAAATTAATGATAACACTGCATAGCTGTCCTTCGCAGTTTTCCTTTGGTTGCTGTGATGGAAGCATTTTTATTTTTTAAGAATTATTTTCATTTAACTTAATTTATTTCTTTTAACTTGACCAGAGAGTGAAGAGTGCGAGAGTTAGAGTGACAGCAAAAGTGAGAAAGCAATTCATCCAGTCTGGGTCTTGAACCATGGTCAGCCATGTGGGAGTCTAGTGCCCTTGACCGCCATGTCACCTGCCGGCCCCGTGGGAATCATTTTTTAAACCCAGATAAATGTTTATAAACGTGGAGGGGACCGCGCAGCAGGTGCTGAGGTGGTCAAGGTGCTGGACTCTCACATGGTCCACTGTGGTTCAAGTCCTGGACCTGGCAACTTGCTTTCTCATTTTACCTCTTTCTCTCTGGTCAAATAATAATAATAAATAGAAATAAAATAAAATAAGTCTTTTTTTTTTTTTTTCGAGAGTTTTTTGCTATAGGGCACATGTGCTCGCCAGAAATACAGAGAGCTAGAGAGAAATCAAGCCCCCAGGGAGATAGGCCACGCCACAATTCCTTCTCCTCCATTCTCCTGTCGGAATCTTGGACATGCACACATATGTGCCCGGCGTGAGTTTAAGCCACCGGGTCCAGGACTCGAACCGTGATCGACTATATGGGAGTTTAGTGACATAGCCATTACACTAACTGCTGGTCTCAAAATAAAATAATTCTTGAAAAAGCAACTTGGAGGTGATTTCCAAAAGTTCATGAAAGAAGATATTAGATAAAAATTTTTAAAATATACTTTATTTCTCAACATAAATTTCATTAAGTTTGAGGCTCTTTTCTAAGCACCAGCCATTTGATCCATCCCTTATGAACTGAATTCCCCTGGGAAGTCAACAATGTCAGCTCAGTCATTTTTCAATGTTAATGGATAATGAGTGCTCTTGAAAGAATTTTGTAAGATTAGGTAAAAAAAAGGAAAACAAAGTCAGAGAGCCAAATTAGAACTGTAAGTTAAATGCTTAATAATTTTCCAATAAAATAAACTAGCCAAATTTCCCTCTTTGATGAGAGGAATGAGAGGGAGCATTATCTGGTAGAGAGGGACTCCGACGAAGCTTTCCTAGCTTTCCTAGAACTCTGACAAAGCTTTCCTACACACACAGACACACACACGCACACAGACTAGGTTGTCAAGAAAGTCATAATGTATTTTTCTATGCAAAAATGCATCATGACTTTCCTGACAACCATATATGTGTATATATATGTGTGTGTGTGTATATATATATGCATATATGTTTATATATGTGTATATGTGTACCACATCTGTATATACACATATGTATCTATGCATATGTGTGGGACTTTAAAAGAAGAAATTTAAATTTTGTGGCTTTAAGAGAGGAAAAATATATGTAAAATGTGAATATTGTAGTCTGTTACTGTGCTGCCAAACAGAAACACCTGAGACTGGGTGCTCTCTAACGCATGAGAGTGTATTTGGCTCACATTTCCGGTGTTTGGAAAGTCCTAAGACAGCATCTGACTGTCCGCTGGTTCTAAAATCACAGGGCTATCAACAGAGAAAGGGAAACAGGTGCTTGCTGAGAGTGACCTGGGGGAGTCAGCTTTCTTTCCAAACAACTTTCTCTCCCAGATGCTAACCCAGTCCAGAGAGAGAAAGAGAGAAGAGAGTACTCCCTCAGGGAGAAAGGGGGAAGGGAGACAGAACTCCTTCAGAGACAAAGAGAGAACTCCCTCAGGCAAGAGGGCATTAGTCTGTTCATGAGCGTAGTACTTCTGAGGTCAAGACACTGTCGGCCAGGTCACACCTCTCAAAGGCTCCCAATCCTCTCAAAACCTCTGCATTGGAGACCAAGTTCCAAATGCGAGAACCTTTGGGAGACAAAACATATTCACACCATAGAAATGGGTTTTCAATATGCAGAAATATTTAAAGAATGACTCCTTTATATAGTTTCTAAGCTACTTTAAATGATTTTTATAATTGATGATCATGTTCTAAAGTTTTTCTCTTATACTTTTCGGCTCTCCTGGTACTGCCATAAAGCAGAGCTTGCCATTTTGTAACCATTATTGTCTCATGCCATACTAAGGTGGATTTATGTGTCCACTACACACTTTAAGTAATATTCTCCTCCAATACCAAGTGAGTAATGTATATATTCTTTACAGTACAGCCTCACATAATACAGCTTAAAAATGAGACTATGTATGAGGATGGTCAAGTCACACTCATCTGTGAGGCAGAAGGGGAGCCTATTCCAGAAATCACTTGGAAGAGAGCCATGGATGGTATCACATTTTCCGAAGGGGACAAGGTACGAACAACTTGATATACAGTAGGTTCCAATATATAGTTCAATGCCCAGTGTTTGTTTTTTCTTGTTTTTTTTTTTTTTTTTCAGGTTTTCTTAATTTTATTTTTTATATTTTATTTAATAACATATATCTCTACAGTGGATAACATTTCTTTTTCCAGCACAATTACCATGCATATCAGTCAAGACAAAGACATTACCGGGCTGGTCTGAGAAGTATTTCATGCCCAGTATTTTGAATATTATTAAATCTCACATTTTCTCCAATTTACCAACTAACTGGGAGTTAAATAAGTTTTTGAAAGTTTTAAAATGGTAACTACCACAAATTTAGCCTAAAAATAACTTCAGAGTGAAAAAAATTCAATATGTTAAATTTAAAGATGTTTTTCATTAAGTCACAAAAAATCAGATTATTAGTATTACTCTTAAGGTTGCATACACAGGTTCAATTTTCTGCTTTTATATAATAAAGAATTTAATAAAAATGAATACAAACAAATACACCATTTTGTTGGCCTTCACAAAATGTCAGGTTACTTAGAAATCAATTAAATAGTAATATATTTCACTGTATCACGTGGCTTTTCATCAGCAAAAATTGTCAAACTATGCCCTCAGATTGCTTTTCTCCATTCAATGTTAGAAACATCTTTTAAACTTTTTTTATTAATGTGAGTTGATTTCTGCAAAAATTCTGGATTTTAAAATATAGATACCCTTGAAAGTATCATTGACTTACTAATGTTGATAACAAAAGAAAATTGAGATCACTTTCTACATAGTACACTTTCCCTTCAACGCATGTGAGTTTTAATAACATGCTTAACCCATCATTTGACCAAAACCGCATATCTCTTATTCATTCATTATCTTTTGAATGAACGTGTTACCATGTTATCAGCCTTATTTGTCCGACTTTCTCCTCACAATGGATTTTTTTTGAGAGTTTATCTATTTTGTTAACAGTTGTAGTATTTTTATAAACTTATTTCATACATTCCAGTTGAAAATTAAATATAGAAAATGTGAATGACTAGCATAGTCTTTAGATAACCCAGAGAAAGTTACAGAGTTTGTGCTTCAGTATTTCTAAAAAGTAAAATCATAAAAATTACTATAGAGCACATGCTAAAACTGAACAGTTATATTTCCATAAAACTTTAAAAATTAAATCAGATGTGTAAAGTTGCAGAAGACTGTTTTCATATTCCAACTTAGCACATTTCTTTAGATGAGATCATTTAAGAGAAATTAACTTCATGCCCTTAGCCCTTACTGTTTCTTCATACTCCCAATGTTACACTTTCTAATTATTTTCCTGTCTGCTTTAAAATTCCAAAAAAGTTCTCTTCTACAAAGTTAGCTTTTACCCTTAATTTAAAAGATTGTTCCCTGGTGTATATGCTGAAAGTGAGATGTAAGTTTTGCTCAGTTATTTTATCAATAAAACATTATCAAGTATCCTGAAAGCTATAATATTTTATTTTAGGATACATGCTTTGCGCTACCCCAAACCACAAACAAATTTCTTCTATAGTAACTGTAATAAATTATGTAGTTTCTGTTTGTTACGGGTTATTTCTATTAAATGAACACAGCTTATTTAAAATGTTTGGGTTTATTAGTCACAAAGCAATGATAAAAACTTAAATATACTTTTCTGTATAACTTGTACTCAATGGATAAAGAAATTAAGATGATTGATTTTTTATCATGACAATTCCCCCCAAATATTTTAATAAATATCCCCAGTTTAAATTCTCAAACTCAGTAGGCTTTTTTTGTCCTAATATTCTGTATCTTTAACAGCAAAATTTAAAAATTAAATGATTGAGCTGAGCTTTGAAGCAACACAAATCCCATCTCATTTTGAATCTCAGCTCTTCCATTTATGATGGTTTAGTTTTGGGCAGTATTACTTGAATTTGTTTTCTTACCTTTAAGCTGTTGATAATAACATTTAGTTCTCTTATTATAATAAAGAAGTTGAAGAGGACATTAAAAAATGCATGTCAAAGTTTTTAGCGTATTATAAATATTTGACAAACTTTATTTTTTAATCTTTGTCATATTACATTATTCTTGAAGCAGTTTATCTTGTTCCTTTTATTATGAATAATTTCTAGGTACTAATAGGCTCCATAAAGACTGACACCGACGATTTAATTGAACACTATCATAAAGTATACTGAGGACATTTCTTTTCAAGGAAATTAGCAAAAGACTGTATTTTCTGTCAGAAACGCTCAGAGAGCCTGTCATCGCACAGATTCTAAACCCCTACTCCCTGAGGTTGATCTACCCAGATCCAGGAGTGCATATTGAATAAATTCATCAGTTGCTATCATATAGTTTTCAGGGCATAATTTAGAAAACTACTACATATCTTATTTATAAATCAAAATGAAATTGAACAACTTATCCTTATAACAACAAATAATTGTTAATATATTAGTTGATACTTAATACGGGTTTAGGAAATATATAAAATAAAATAAACAAACAAAAAACCAAAGTTTCCATCAAACCAGTCAATATTTTACTGAAATTGCTAAATTTTCAGGTCATACACACTGAAATATCATTCATGTCATATGGTTCAAACTAATAATTTCATCCAAAAAACTTAACAAATATGCTCAACCTAGTAGATTTTTCAAAAGGAGACCATGCCTTAATAGCACCCATTTTCCTTGTCTAAGTTTGGAGTGGATCACCAAGTAAAACTACTGCAAATAAATAAATAGAAATAAAATATCATATCAATTAAATCTATAGGTAAGTGAATGTTTTAATCTGAATTCTAGAATTAGATATAAAATAACACAACACTGTCCAACAGTCTTTTGATCCTTGTCGCTCTCCCTTGTGGGAGAAAAGACAGTAAAGTTACTAACACTGATGAGAGCGATGCACAGCCTGTGGTCCCTGCAGAAATTACCTTTCTAAAAAGATCAAAAGGATTAGTTAAGGAAAAATATATCCAATTAGGTATCAAATTAGATATTTCTTTACTCCTCAAAGAGAGAAGAAAGTAAGCAATCTAGAAAGTCCCGGAGTGGTACGTTAGAAAACCTTCCTCACTGTGGAATAAGCATCAAGAGTCCAGTAGGTGGATGCTACTGGTCCCTACTCTAGTGGAAGACAGTGCTCCCTCCTCCACAGGGTCACTGGGCCTTGAGTGGGCAGCTGCTGCTGGTCCCTGCCAACACTGGAGAAAACACTTTTACCCCACTGTAGGGACACTGTTGGTTCCT